AGGGCCTATGGGCCTTGGATGTTAGGCTTTTGGGGTGAACCGTCATGGGGTCTGCAGACCCTTATTTCCAGGCCTTGAGCCCGAAATTCAGGCTTCCAGTCTGAACGACGCAGGGCCTGGAAAATGGCCCTCCTGTGCAGGCGCAGCATGTAACACCCCCCACTCCTTATGAAGTCAAGCCGGGTCGAGGGCGCAGCCGACGATCTGAAGGTGGAACCTGGACGCGGTTGCGGCGTGGAGCCGAAGATACCGGCTTGCCTTGCATCTTTCGTTCATACCGTACGAGAACATCTGGAGCTGTCGCTTGGAGTTCCGCACGGGTCAACCAGCGGTCGGCTCGGTGGGTGCAATACGCAAAGTGTACCAGATACTCGGTCGGCTTGTTGCCGTAGCGTCGCTGGGAAATGATGTCACCGACCTCCTGAAAGCCGTCCATAGAGGGTGGGTCTTGCGATCGTCGCCCGGGAAAGTCATCCTGGTCTGCTGGTGTGTACAGCGCCAACTTGGAGCAATGGAAAACCGGGTAGACGGGCAAGTGGGCGGGCACCTGAACTATGAAGGAAGGTCCCTCAGGTGCATCCCCAGCAGGTGCTACAATCGGCCATGGCCCCATCCATTTCGGGAGGAGCTTGCGAGAGATAACCTGCTCAAGGCTGAATTCCGCGGCGGAAACCCACACGAGGTCGCCTGCGCGGAATGGACAAGGAAGACGCTGGCGATTGGCCTGCCGGCTCATGCGTTGCTGCGTCTTTGCCATCTGATTGCGTGCCTTGACAAGAAGCTCTTGCATCCGACGCAAGAAAAGGAGATGGTCGTCGCTCTCGGTCGTGCGTGGAACGATGGTGTCCAACGGAGAAGTGACCGGAGAGCCATGCTCAAACTCGAAAGGCGACATCCCAATAGTCGGGTGGATGGACGAATTGTAGGCCAATTCGACATCCAGCAGCCGCTCAACCCAATCCTTATGATCGGGACGGATAAGAGTGCGAAGGAGTACCTGTGCCGTCTGGTGCGCCCTCTCCGTCTGGCCATCCATCTGAGGGTGGCGAGCTGAACTAGGCTTGAGAGATGAGCCCCATCGTTTGGTGAGCGCCAACCAAAAATCAGACATGAACCGAGTGTCGCGGTCGCAGACGATTTCCTTGGGGTAACCCTTGGTTCGAATCCAACCGGCGTAGAGAACCTCGGCCAACTCTGGTGCCTTGGCATGATAGCGACAAGGCAAAAACATGGCAAACTTAGTGAGTCGATCGACTACCGTGAGAATCCCATCCACACCGGTCTTGTGCTTGGGGAATGGCCCAGTGATATCCATGGCAATCGCCTCCCGTCGGCGCAAGGGAACCGGTAGTGGTCGCAACTCGCCATACGGACGATGATTGCGGAATTTGCAACGTCGGCAAATCTCGCATGACTCGCAGTAGCATGTGATGTCGTCGAGAAGACCGGGCCACCAAAATCGCTCGCGAAGTCGACCAATCGTTCGATTGACGCCAAAATGTCTGGTGGCGGGAGCATCGTGGAACTCGCCAAGAAGCCGTGTACGCAAGTGAGGGTCACTCGGCACGCAAAGAAGATCCTTCCCCCGCGAGTGGACAAGCAAATATCCCTCCTGGATCCAATAGTGAGAAGGTGCCGGATTGGGCGAGGAACAATTTGCGTACTTGTCGCGAAACTCGGGGTCGGCCTGGTAGCCGCGGATAAAATTGTCCCGCAAGTCGTTATCAATCTCGAAAGTCGAGTAGACGGCGGTGCAATGGTCCGGACGTCGTGAAAGAGCATCCGCAAAACGGTTTGACTTGCCCGGAATGTGATCGGGGAAGAAGTCAAACTGGTCAATGAAGGCCATCCACCGGGCAATGGTGCTGTTGACTGTGTCCTGGGTCTTGTAAAAGACCAACGGATTGTTGTCCGTTACCCATCGGAACTGCCGTCTACCAAGAAGGAAATGCCGCCAGCGCTTGAGTGCGTGTACGAAGGCCAATAATTCCTTCTTCCTCGCGTCATCAATAGAGTGCACGGCGGGCACCTTCTTGCTGAAATACTCGACCAAGTGCCAGTCCATGCCATCGTGTTGCTCGAGGACAGCGCCAATACCATAGCCGGACGCATCAGTAGTGACGCGTGTGGGCAATACCGGGTCGTAGATTCGCAAGACCTCCGCTGACAAAAGTGCAGCTTTGAGAGCCAAGAAAGATTCCCGCGCATCCTCCTCGAAGTCAAACAGCCGATCCTCGCATTGAAGCTTGGTCAAGTGGGCCGCGATCTTCGAATAGTCTTTGATGAAGCGCTGATAGTAGCCGGCAAGACCAAGAAACGAACGGACATCCGTGACGTTACGCGGCTCCAGCCACTCCTGGATGGCTTGAATTTTCTCCGATAGCGGGCTGATGCCCTCTGGTGTGACAAAATGGCCCAAGTACTCGAGCTTTTGCCGGACAAACTCGCACTTGTCGCGCTTGGCTTGGTACTTGGCACGGCGGAGCGTCTCCAACACACGTCGAAGATGCTCAAGATGGTCCTCCAAAGTCCGGCTGTAGACGAGAATGTCGTCTAGGTAGACCAGCACGAACCGATCCAACATAGCACGGAACTCGTGGGTCATGGCCGCGTGGAAGGTTGTCGGGGCATTGGTGAGGCCAAAAGGCATGACCACCCATTCAAAATGCCCATACCGCGTCTTGAATGCGGTCTTGTAGCAATCATTTGGGCGTATCGAAATCTGATGATACCCCGACTTCAAGTCCAACTTGGAAAAGAACTTAGCACCGCCCAGTCGCTCAAGAAGATCGTCGATACGAGGAAGAGGCCCCACATTTTTCACAGTTTGCGCGTTGAGCTTGCGGTAGTCGATGCACAAACGTAGATCCTTGTTCTTCTTCCTTATGAAGAGAACTGGTGCTCCATATGGGGAGCTGCTAGGGCGGATCCAGCCCTTGGCCAACAAGTCGTCGAGTTGTGCGCGAAGGACCTCCAGTTCCTCCTCGCTCANGGTCCGGACGTCGTGAAAGAGCATCCGCAAAACGGTTTGACTTGCCCGGAATGTGATCGGGGAAGAAGTCAAACTGGTCAATGAAGGCCATCCACCGGGCAATGGTGCTGTTGACTGTGTCCTGGGTCTTGTAAAAGACCAACGGATTGTTGTCCGTTACCCATCGGAACTGCCGTCTACCAAGAAGGAAATGCCGCCAGCGCTTGAGTGCGTGTACGAAGGCCAATAATTCCTTCTTCCTCGCGTCATCAATAGAGTGCACGGCGGGCACCTTCTTGCTGAAATACTCGACCAAGTGCCAGTCCATGCCATCGTGTTGCTCGAGGACAGCGCCAATACCATAGCCGGACGCATCAGTAGTGACGCGTGTGGGCAATACCGGGTCGTAGATTCGCAAGACCTCCGCTGACAAAAGTGCAGCTTTGAGAGCCAAGAAAGATTCCCGCGCATCCTCCTCGAAGTCAAACAGCCGATCCTCGCATTGAAGCTTGGTCAAGTGGGCCGCGATCTTCGAATAGTCTTTGATGAAGCGCTGATAGTAGCCGGCAAGACCAAGAAACGAACGGACATCCGTGACGTTACGCGGCTCCAGCCACTCCTGGATGGCTTGAATTTTCTCCGATAGCGGGCTGATGCCCTCTGGTGTGACAAAATGGCCCAAGTACTCGAGCTTTTGCCGGACAAACTCGCACTTGTCGCGCTTGGCTTGGTACTTGGCACGGCGGAGCGTCTCCAACACACGTCGAAGATGCTCAAGATGGTCCTCCAAAGTCCGGCTGTAGACGAGAATGTCGTCTAGGTAGACCAGCACGAACCGATCCAACATAGCACGGAACTCGTGGGTCATGGCCGCGTGGAAGGTTGTCGGGGCATTGGTGAGGCCAAAAGGCATGACCACCCATTCAAAATGCCCATACCGCGTCTTGAATGCGGTCTTGTAGCAATCATTTGGGCGTATCGAAATCTGATGATACCCCGACTTCAAGTCCAACTTGGAAAAGAACTTAGCACCGCCCAGTCGCTCAAGAAGATCGTCGATACGAGGAAGAGGCCCCACATTTTTCACAGTTTGCGCGTTGAGCTTGCGGTAGTCGATGCACAAACGTAGATCCTTGTTCTTCTTCCTTATGAAGAGAACTGGTGCTCCATATGGGGAGCTGCTAGGGCGGATCCAGCCCTTGGCCAACAAGTCGTCGAGTTGTGCGCGAAGGACCTCCAGTTCCTCCTCGCTCATCCGATAGATGCAACCTTTCGGCGGCACGGCACCGGCCTCAAGAATGATCTCGTGAGAGATCGGCCGATCCGGCACCACACCGGTAGGTGACTCGAAGATGTCGGCGAACTCATCAAGCAGCCGTACCACGTGGGGGTCCAAAGACAAGTCCGATGGTGAAGAGTCGGCTACCACGCTAATCCGCAAGAAACATAGGCCTATCTCTTTGGGTTGCTCATATGCACATGTAGTTCGATTTGGCCGTCACGACTTGGCACCGGATCGAAGGGTGCGGAAGAGGAATAGTACACGGCACCTCGGCGCCGAAGGCCTCGCGAACGGTGAGAGTCCGCTGGTGAAAGTTGACCGTGTGATCCGCACTTGCAAGCCAAGGCATTCCCAGAATGATATCAAAGTCCGTGTCCAAGATGTCGAACGTGACCGGTTCGCATGCATGAGGTGCGAAGTACATCGGTACGGCCTCGATGTAACGGTCGAGAAGTTGCTGCGTCTTTCCATGTGCCAACTTGATCGCCGTCGGGTTTGCCTTCCTCCAAACCTGCGCGCTGAGGCCAGCCCTTTGCATAAAAGCTTGGCTCATGAAGTTGCGAGTCGCGCCGCTATCCAGCAAAGCGCTGCAGGATGCCTGCCCAACTTGGATGCGGACATACATCAGCGGTGCATTATTGTCGTCGTACCGCTGCGTGCGAAACTCGCGGGCCACCTTGGTAACATATGCCAAGATGTCCCCCACCGCGACCTCGTCATCCGTCGGCGAAGTTGGTGGTGCATAGAAGGACAAGTACTTGTGAAGATGGGCACAGAGTGCTGCGCATTGCGGTCCCAGTAAGCGGCCCGTGGTCGGGAGAGGAAGCCATGCGAAATCCCCAGACTTGAGCGGGTCCAATTTCTCTATGTTGAACCCGCGCGCCGAATCGCGTGAAGAACCACTTGAAGACGAAGAAGAACCGTTGCCGGACGGAGAAGATGCCGCACACACGTCTTGTCCTTGAGCAAAAGATCCCAGCGTCGGAGCGAGCCGGGCAGCATAGTCCTCAAAAGAATAGAGAAGAGGACTGTCGACTTCCGCATGCGCCCCGGAATGAAGGCCGGTCACTCGCGAAGAAACCAGTTCCGAAGGCGTCGAGAGTGTCGTCGACTCGCTCTCGGCGGCGCTCAGTTTCCCTGCTTGCCCTTCCCCTTGGCAGGGCAGCCCACTGTCTCGTGGCAGTCGCTGTTGCACCACAGGCAGTAACGGTACTTCGTGCGTTGCTTGTAAGCTTGCTCCGAAAGACCGTAGGGGGTCCAGGGCCCCTGAGCTGTTGCGCCGGGCCCGGGGTTTGATGTGGTGTTTGTCTTCGATTTGCCGCGTCCTCGGCCTCGGCCGGGGCGGCCACCATCCCGGGCAGCTGCGAGTCTGTCTCCTTCATTGGCAGACTCCGCCTCGCCAGATTGGCTGCTTGGCGATGCCGCCGCAACCACGGCCACCTTGGGCCGATGCTGGTCCTTGCTCGGGCCTGCCGCAGCACGAGTGAGGTTCTTCGCCTCCTTGTTCGTGATGATAATCTGTGCGGCCTTGTCGAATAGTTGCGCCGTCGTTGTCAGTGTTTCCTCGACATGCGTCAAGGCGTTGCTCAACGCCGGGCACGACCTCAAAATGAAGTAGTGCTCGATGGCTTTGAAGCCCATTGGGAGACCTGGGACGGATGTCAAGCGTTGGTACTCGGCAATCCAGTCGAYGCTTGGCAGCGAGCCTTGCTCGAAGGTCATGAGCTTGTCCATGGCCTTGATCTCCGGCGGCTCCACTTGGAACCGCTTGTGCCACGCCGCCTTGAGGTCTTCCCAGCTGATCTTCGTGTGTAACTCGGCAGCGACCACCCCGTACTGGGACAAGAGATTGTCCAGCCATGCCTGGCATGCGCCTCCC